CCCATTAGTGAATGGCAAATACCTGGCAAATACCATAGTAAACTGTATTTGCCTTTTAAAAAATATTATTTTTTTAAAATTTTTAATCATGTATATACGTGTATGTCTGTGTGTATATACACATGAGTCCAATGCCAGTGGAGGCCAGAAGAGGGCATTGGTTCCACTGGCGCTGGAGTTACAGGGAGTTGTGGGCTGCCTGATGTGGGTGCTGGGGACTGAACTCTGGTCCTTTGAAAGAGAAGTACATGATCTTATCTGATAAATCATTTCCAATCTTCACTTTTTTTTAAACACAGCAATGATCTGAATAGTTCCTTTTCTGTGTATTTAAAATGATTAGTTTTAAGCATGAAGAAGCAAAGTTATGGTTCATGACTTGATTATTGTTCTGAGTAACCCCAACACTATTTGGCTTGTTTTATTCTTGAAGATTTACATATTCATTTGAGCCAGAAAACATCATGGTTGTTTCATTTGGGTCAATAGGATAAATTGCTGGTAAAGTTAAGGAAAAATTGTTTTTGGATCTGTAAAAAGATACATTTTTAAACTTTATAATTGTTTTACAGTCAAATTTTTAGAAGTTATCAAACCTTTCTGTGGAGTTTTACCAGAAATACAAAAGTCTGAAAGGAAAGTAAGTATATTATTTAGTCTCTTATAGTCTCTTAGGCTCTTAGGCTCTTATAGGCTCTTAGGTGCTTAGGCTCTTATAGGCTCTCAGGCTATTAAGGGCTCTTAGGCTCTTAGGCTCTTATAGGCTCTTAGGCCCTTAGGCTCTTAGGCTCTTAGGCTCGTATAGGCTATTATAGGCTCTTAGGCTCTTAGGCTATTATAGGCTCTTAGGATCTTATAGGCTCTTAGGCTCTTGTAGGCTTTTAGGCTCTTAGGGTCTTATAGGCTCTTAAGCTCTTATAGGCTCTTAGGCTCTTAGGCTCTTGTAGGCTCTTATAGGCTCTTAGGCTCTTGTAGGCTTTTAGGCTCTTAGGGTCTTATAGGCTCTTAAGCTCTTATAGGCTCTTAGGCTCTTAGGCTCTTGTAGGCTCTTATAGGCTCTTAGGCTCTTGTAGGCTTTTAGGCTCTTAGGGTCTTATAGGCTCTTAAGCTCTTATAGGCTCTTAGGCTCTTAGGCTCTTGTAGGCTCTTATAGGCTCTTAGGCTCTTGTAGGCTTTTAGGCTCTTAGGGTCTTATAGGCTCTTAAGCTCTTATAGGCTCTTAGGCTCTTAGGCTCTTGTAGGCTCTTATAGGCTCTTAGGCTCTTGTAGGCTTTTAGGCTCTTAGGGTCTTATAGGCTCTTAAGCTCTTATAGGCTCTTAGGCTCTTAGGCTCTTGTAGGCTCTTATAGGCTCTTAGG